GTTGTTTGGCGAGTCCAGGCTGGGGATTCGAACCCGCCACCTTAGGTGTACATGGCTGGCGCCTTAGCCGGTTGAGCTATAGGCGCCGAGCCTCTGTGTCTTTTTTTTTTTTGAGACAGAGTCTTACTATGTCACCCTCAGTAGAGTGCTGTGGCATCACAAGTCACACCAACCTTAAACTCATAGGCTTAAGCGATTCTCTTGCCTCAGCCTCCCAAGTAGCTGGGACTACAGCCACAACACCTAGCTATTTTTTTGTTGTTGTTGTCATTGTTGTTTGGCAGGTCCAGGCCAGGTTCCAGCCCACCAGCTCTGGTGAATGTGTCTGAAGCCCTAGTCATTGAGCTACAGGCCCTGAGCCTGTTCTGAGTTGCTTATATGATGTTAATCTCTTATTGTGGATCTTAGATTGAAAAGTTTGAAGGCCACTGAGTTGAATTATGTTGGCTGGGAGGATGAAGAGAGGGATGCCCTTTGCATTAACCCAGTGAGGTGTCCTCTGCAGAGGGAGGCACTCTGGTTCTCCAGCTGAGAGGGCACCTCATCGTCCCTGATCCCAGTGACTGGACAGAGGTCAGCAGGCCATAGCAATAACTGAGAGTGATTGCATCTTGGGAACCTCCCAGTTTAATGTTCCCAATGCAAAGAAATGACAAATGTTTGAGGTGATAGATATGCTAATTACCCTGATTTGGTCATTACACATTACATATATGTATACCTGTATCACTCTATATCCCATAAATATGTACAGTTTTTACATGGCAACTAAAAATAATAAAAGAAAAAAGTCTTAAATGAATTATGGGAATAAACTGGAAATTTTGTCAGCATTCTTAAGACTTAAAAGAGGCAGCCCCTCAGTCTGGACCCTTATACCTCCACGGGAGATATGTGCACCCCCTTCCACCCTTGAAGAGAATTGGGAAGTCCTGGACCAGGCTCTGTTGTGGTCTGGGGGATTCTGTGGGACAGAGCTGTGAGAGGGGAGCAGACTCCCAGGCCGTGTGTGAAGGCTGTAGTCTCTTCCTTCCAACCTTCATTGTTGGGAAAGTGTAACTAACAGCTGCCACAACTTCTGAGGCATCCATTTTCCAGGTGAGAAAACCAAGACAGAGCTGAAAGACAGGGTTTATTAATAGTCTTTCCCCATGATTAGTGGAAAAGGCTTGGGCTTCCAGTCCCCCCTCAGCTCCCCCACGCTAAACTATGTGGCTGGAAGCAAATCATATCCCTTCTCTGAGTCTTCGTTTGTTCATCTGTAAAACAGGCTAATAACAGCTCCTGTTTCACAGGGTTGCTTTGAAGGGAAAAAAAAAATCCCAGCTTCCCAGAGTGCCAGGAACATAGTTGAACCTCTCTGACAGTCCTTATCTATTAAGTATCTATAGGTAGTTCTTATCTATTAGATTAAGACCTCTCCTGGTCCTTATCTAACTGATTATTAGTAAAGGGAAAGCCCAAGAAAGCTATGGTATTAGGGAATGTAGGTCTGGGTACATCTGTACAATGGGCACAATGGGACTCTCAGGGAGTGGAAGGAGATCACAGTAATGTGCTTGGGTCTTACCTCTGCTACTGGCAGAATACATATGTTCTGGGTCTCTGTACCTGTGGGTACTGTGAAGATGGACCGTTTCTTGGTTGTCCTTAAATTCTTAGCAGTAGGGTGGGGGCAGGAGGCGAGTGGGACTTTGAATAGCATTGAATGATTGACTGACTGAAGAGAATAACTGAATTCAGAGACCCCAGAGCTGGTCTCCTCTAACCTATCTGGCTAAGGACTGGGAGATGTGGGCAGCCTTTCTCTCCCTCTTCTGGCCAAGCTGCTCTTGCCCTTGCCCAGGCTCCTGACTGCCCTCCCCTGTATCCTAGGAGGAGGCACTCTTCGGACATGTGTGCTCAGGCCCCCAGGGATCTATGGCCCTGAAGAGCAGAGGCACCTGCCCCGTGTGGCGGTATGTCACCCCACCCTCCCAGAACACAGGCACTGCGTCAGTCTCAAAGCAGGACATCCTGAGCCTGGAACCCTCAGTTCTGGGAGATGCCCCTGCCAGGAACAGAGCTGTCAGTGTGTCCCAGCCAGGCCCAGGTATAAGTAGGAGAAACATAGAACTGTGACTGAAAGAGACAGAAGGGAGCTTGTTGCCACCACTCACGTGTGGGCACCCTGAGGGCTGGATGGTTCACCCATGCTGGCAGCACAAGAGTCATCATACTGAAAACCTTGTGCTAGAGAAACCAGTGCCAGGAGTCTAACCACAAAGGGCTTTAGGCTCTGTCCTCAGATTTCTTATGGCTGGTCAGGGCAACAGATGCCACAAGCCACAGCCTCGGTGAGGTAAGGGCTGTGTAGAGGGGAAATCAAGAAGATGGACCTGGAAGGAGAGCTTCCAGTTGTGCTTCCTAGAGGTGGGGAAGCCTGTGGTATATGGAGAGAGAAGGAATCAAGGAAACTGGGTTGTAGAGAGAAGGTAGAACAGAGGAGGCAGTGTGGACACAAACCTGGAAGTGAGAAAGATGGTGATCAGTTTAGGAAGCAGAGCTGGTCTGGGACTGTGTGGTCCTGGGGGCCATAGAGAGTGATTGAGGGAGTTTAGCTCCAGTCTGCAGTGTCAACACACTCCTTTGTTAGGGCTGCCTTGTTTGTTTGTTTGTTTAATTAACTGGATTCTCAAAGGATGTGGCATCAACCTAATGGCTTTCTCCTTTATTTATTGATTGATTCAACAAATATTTACTATGTGCCTGGCACTGTTCTAGTTTTAGGGACAGATCTGTGAACACAACCACCACTTCCTAACTTTCTGGGGCCTGTCTTCTCACATGAGACTGGATAATAAACAGTAACTGTGTCAAGTTATAAGGTGTGTTCAAAGGTGCCGCACACCATGGAGAAAAGGGAGAAGTAGAGCAGGGTGAGGGAACTGGGTTCGCTGCACAGTCAGGGGAGGTGACATTTGAGCATCTCCTAGACAGAAGTGATAGAGTGCATCACACAGGTGTTTCCAGGTATTTGGGGCAACAGCTCCCTCAAAGCCCTGAGATGGGAATCTGCTGCACGTTTGGGAGAGGTGTGTGGTTAGGAGGAGGTAATGGTGCAGAGTAGCTGAGGCCAGGTCAGGAGGGGTCTGTAGGCTGGTGTCAGGACGATAGCTGCCAGCGTGGCAGGATGGGTGCCCTGGTAGGCTCTGAGCCAGGGAGAGGCATGGTCTTACTCAGCATTTAAAAGGAATCCCCTGGACCAGACATAGTGGCTTATACCTGTAATCCCAGCACTTTAGGGGGCTGAGGCAGGAGGATCACTTGAGGCCAGAAATTTGAGGCCAACCTGGGCAACATAGCAAGACCCCATCTCTATAAAAAATTCACACCCAGTAATGGTCTGAAAAAAATAAATAATTTTTTTTTAAAGGATACTTCTGGCTGTGCAGAGAACAGGCCACAGGGCTGAGAGTGAGAGAGGGGGACCAGTTAGGAAGCTACTGTGGGGTCCAGGAACAGGATGAAGATAGCAGTTAGGGTGGTAAGGAGTGGGCAGAATCTAGACATTTTTTTTTTTAGAAACAGAATTGCCCTCGGTAGAGTGCTGTGGCATCACAGCTCACAGCAACCTCCAACTCCTGGGCTTAAGCCATTCTCTTGCCTCAGCCTCCCAAGTAGCTGGGACTACAGGCACCCGCCAGAACTCCCAGCTATTTTTTTGTTGCAATTTAGCCGGGGCCAGGTTCGAACCTGCCACCCTTGGTATAAGGGGCCAGTACCCTACTCACTGAGCACCAACTGATTCTGGACATATTTTAATAGTTGAGCCACCTGGATTAGCAGGTGGGTTAGATGTGGGGTATGAGAGAAGTAAAGGTTGAAGGCAGCTCCAGGGTATCGACCTGAGTAGTAGAGTGAACTCAGCAGTGAGCTGGGAAGGAGGGAGGAACTGGTGCTCTCTCTAGGACCTGGTAAATTGAGTTGTCTGTTAGACACGAGGCGTTGATGTCATGAAGGCAGCTGGGGACCCATGGGTTTGGGGCTGGAGGTCCTGGCCTGGAGCTAGAAGTCTGGGAGCTATCAGCCAACAGATGGACCATGAAGCCACTCCAGGCTCAATCAAGACTGGATCACCCCTTCCTCTCCACCAGAGCCACATCAAGAGAAGACTGTTCATGTTCCGATTTGGGGACCGCAGGACACAGATGAACTGGGTTCACGTGTGCAATCTGGTGCAGGCGCACATGCTGGCAGCTGAGGCCCTCACTGCGGCCAAGGGCTATGTGGCTGTGAGTCTCTTGAGATGCCCCCTCTCCCCTTCCTCCAGGGCTGCAGCAGGCAGTGGGTCCATCTCCATCCCAAGAACATCTCTGGCCCACTCAAGATTTCCCCCAAGTGGAAGCTGGCTGGCAGGGCTGGTGGCCAAGGGAAGCTTGGGGGAGGGATTCTTTATAGAGCATCTTTAGCTCTGCAAAGAGACTCTGTGAGGTAGGTGTTATTGATCCCAGAATAACAGTCACCAAATGTTAAGCAAATGTCCTGTTTATCTTCACAACAGCCCATAGGGGAGATCCCTTAATTGTCCTCTGTTTCTCAGATAAAGGAACTAAAGTATTAGGAAGTTAGCAATACTGTTGAGGTCACACAGCTAGTCAGTGTGGTGGCCCCAGGATTCAGAGGGAATGGCCCAGCTCTGTCCCCAGGCTGCTCAGGAGGACCATGGTTTGAT